TTTCTAGAGGTAGGTATTTTTACCCTGCTTCCGGAAAACTATTTTTTTCTTTGGGGATGGAAATGGGACCCCAGATTTTTGACCCGAAAGTCCGGGTTCAAGACCCGGGTTGGGGTCCCAGGTCCGTCCCCAAGAAAAACATATCTAATTTCGAAAAAAAATTGAAGAGTTTTTACTAAACTAAAGTTAAGCCAAAAGCTTTCTATAACTGCAAACCAATGTTACAATTATAGGCCTATAAAAAGGAGTGCACATATTGATATTCAAATTAAACCTATTTCAGTGATACAATTACGACTAAAATCCTCAGAATATTTGGACGATGAAGCTTATGTTCGAAACTAGTCGAAATGTCGGAATTATGTGTCTGATTGTAACCTAAAATAAAAGGAAAGATCAAAAATGTATTGATATATGACTGGGATATATGCAAATCCCTTGATGTAAAGCAATTTCGATCTTTTCTACAATACCAAATTTTAACTCAGTTATAAAATTATGCTTCCCCACATCTTTTAATCTGCAAATAAAATTTATTACTACTGATCAGAGAATGGCCAATAATGTGCATGTGTGCAAGAAGACGCAAAAATCATAATCAAAAGTACATTAAAATTAATCTTTGTAACAAAATTCGTTTCTTCTAGTCAAATTGCTGCGTTTGTTTCATCGATTTACGGTGAAATTACAAGTAAAATTAATATTCAATCTAATGACTATCACAATAAATAAGCAAATGATGCACTTTGACATATTTATCATATATTTTTTGTTGCAAATAATTTGTAAACAATTTTGTGGTTGTACCCGCTCCCCATGTTTTTGCAAGTTCGTTACCATTGACTTTTCACCATTATTTCGTACCGAATTTACATTAACTAATGCAGACTTAAGATTGTATGAAAACTAGTGTTTTGTAAATAAGTAATAAAACAAAATTAAATATCAAGAACTTACATTTTCTTTTTAAACAATGTTAACAAATTTCTTACAGAAAGAAAACACGAAATCACACTGACATTTGAGAATTGAAAACAATACCTTTGACAGTTCATCGGTTGCTTAACAGCTGTATGGTGTTGCCACCCAATGCTAGTTAAAATTAAGTTTAAATGAATGCGGTTGTGGTATGCGTATGGCAGATAATAACAAAAGCTAGAATGTAGTAAATAGGGTAAGTGTGCCTAAGTTCGGCATGTCCCAGTAGTCGGCAATTTTGAAATTTAAACTTAAATAACTAAGAATAGAATTGACCAAATAATGAAATAATTTCAATAAAACGTCAACATTGCTATCTGTTCTCTTTCTGCAAAAAAAAAAGAGCTCCGATCATTTATTACGAGAGAATAACGGTTTTCGTCAGTGAGTGTCTTCCAACGCATGCGATAGTGCTTGTTTGGAAAGAAAAAATTAGTGGTGGCGTCAACTTAATAATCGATTTAAGTAAATTAAATTTAATACTTTTGGATCACAATTTTTTTATAATAGTAAATAACAGTCCAAACATCATTATATAACTTAAAAACATACAAATCAAGCATTTTTCTGTTATATTATTTAATGCCGACATTAGGAACAGAAAAAAAGAGATTTGCCAGTAGTCGGCAGGGGGTGCCGATTACTAGACAAATATAATTTTTGACCAATTTCACCAAAAATTGAGAAAAGTATTAAAAAATAATCAAAAAACTACTCAAATAAAAAATATTTTGAGTCGGCAGTTGCTTTTATTTGTGCTTTTTGACCAACTTTTCTAAATTAAATAGGTTTTTAAATCAGCTATTTAACGTTTTAGATAGCGGTGGTATTAAAAAACGAAAATGGTGGCTATCTAAAGGAAAAAGATCAATTCACAAATTCCAAATATAAGAAAGGTACTTTTTTCTTTTTTATTTAATCCCCTTTTTATTTTAATTGAAAATCCATGCGTTACTGAAGGTTACTATACTATTATTTGGTTTAGAATGATAATTAAATAAAACACTACCTAAAAACGAAATTAATTTCAAATTCTGGATTAAACTGTGAATTATTAATATAGCATTGTTTTATACTTTTTGGTGCCGACTACTGGCAAAAAACTACTATTTTATAAAATTGCAAATTATGCCAATTTAATAAAAACTAATTCAATTTTTGTTTATTATTTCAGAAACTAAACAAAATTTGGAATCTGTACGACTTTATGTTTCTACAATTGAACGATTTCACTCAGAATGTTGAAAGATTGAAAAATCGAAAATCCTAAAAGTTCCGACTACTAGTACACTTACCCTATAACACTTTAAAATTAATATTTGTATGCTAACACAAACTCGCACAATATTCAATAATATTAAATTCACAAATAATTAATGTTCACTGCGATGGCAAAATTATAAAAGGTAATTCCATGCAAACATATGATATAAAACTTCTTCATTAACTTTCTTTCATTGACAATATCCAACTTTCAAAATTAAAATTGCATTCTTCAAAATGTACGTACAATTTCACATAGAACGACAAAAAACACAATGTTATTTATAATTTGGAAGTCTCGACTTCTATACAACATAAAAACGTAGCCTAGAAGCAAATACTCCAAATTTGGTGAAAATCGGTTCAGATATAGCTATAGCTCCATATATATATGATTCACCCGATTTGGTCTTTAAGTCCCTCACATTCTTAATACGCATTCCACAACAATTATATTTGGTACCACATATCTTATGAAGCTCAGAAATGCCTCAACCAAATTTTATCGAGATCGGTTGAGATTTGGTTGTAACTCCCACATATATATTTATCCGACTTCAGATTTATTGTGTACCCAATGGCTAATATCAACCCAAATGGAGTGAATTTTGAGTCGCACATTTTCATTTGGTAAAGTTCGGCTAAAATATATATTTCTTAATGTAATCCTTCTCGAAGTGATATCATGCACAATATAGCAATGTTTTTTGGTATGAAAGGTAAAAATTCCTCCGTCTGGAACCATATAACTGCTATAATGCCAAATAAGTTTAATAGTTGGTATGATCTATTTCATTTAAATTCCCTAAATAAATTCTTTTGTTGCTTGAGCTCTACTAATTGTGGTGTAGGGTATCATATAGTCGGTCCCGCCCGACTTTTGACTTTTCCTTACGGCTTTACTGAAGAGTTGATGTTTCATTTGGAGTTGATTTAAATTAATTAATTATTAAAAATTAATATTCACGGTAATTAATTTAAAAACAAATTGGGCACCCTACTATTCGATGGGCATAGCATAGCTTGGTACAATCAGTACAATGGAGAGAAGGTAGGCTAAGTTGGAAAATTTTTGCAAGTAAAAAGGCCTACCTGAATGGATTTTAATGCCAGAATTACTATCAAAACCAATTAAATAAGTTGTATACTACTCATGCATTCACATGCCAATGGTCTCTTACAGAACTGAAAGAATGTAAAAGTTTTACTACTATAACCGATTTCCCTGTATGATATCGAAAAATTCAAAAATAGTTGATTGTTGCAGAAATTTGCAAAAGTTGGGCACACTGAGAAAAAATTGCAATCAGCTGATTGCTCTACCTTACATATCTTTTGTACCATGTGGAACAGAGCATGTCTTTTGACCGCATACTTATGATCTGTTCCAGAACTGCAAGAATGTAAGTTTTTACTACGATAACCGATTTTCCCATTATGATATCGAAAAAACTTGTTCAATTAGTAGATTCTGGCAAGTACTGGAACAACGCATTAGTTGTCAAATGGGCCGACCAAGGTAGATCTAACAGGTAACCGCATCGGCGAATTGCTACAACAAAGCAACTTTTGTGGTCCCCTCAACTGTCAAAATTGGCACCTAAGGCGAAAAACATAGATTCGCCATGACATTTAAAGGTTGCGACAAATTTGTTTCAACCAATCAGAAACGAGGCGTTTGTTTACATTTTATTTTGTGTGCCTCTCGTCGTAAACGAACGTCGCAATAAAAGTTTTTATTGTAAAAAAAGAGTAAAATAAATATTAATTGTAGTGTTGCCATATTTTTTAAACCAAGAAACTTATAATGACTATATTTTACTGGTTTAAACCGAAAGTTTTCCGGAGCTGCAAATGACAAGAGTCGAATTCTTGCACTACTTCCCGTGATGTGCTTTGGGAATCTTAGATGTTGAGGCTAACTTAATTCTTAAAGCTGCAATCCATTCTAACCTCCTTCCTTCATTTTCTTTTAATTTTTTTACTGGTTTCACTCTTAACTTGCTCTTGAATTATTTGAAATATTATAAAAAGGTACTTTTAGGGAAGACAACATAAACAAATTTGTTGTTGCATTCATTTAGGGCGAATTCTTCATTACAACAATTTGTTTTGACATTTAATGGTGCCGTCAGCTGGGCTGATGCGATTACCTAGTACATCTACCTTGGGGCCGACCTTATGTAAGACATGCGTCTACCTGAATTCGTCTGCCATTTTTTTAAGTCAACTTTTTCAATGAGATTTGTCAAAGCATGATTTTGTGAAATTGTAAACATATAATTGCCCGAGTTTCCCTTTTCACCATATGCTCTGTTCCAGAACCTGCATCTACCAATTTTGCCATTTTGTCGATATCATAAAGGGAAAATTGGTTATCGTAGTAAACACATTCATGCAGTTCTAGAACAGACCAATAGGTTCACCGCTTTGGGCTTCCACACAGAAAACTTCTCAGCCAATTTATATTTTTGATGAATACGATGACACATTTTACAAGAAGCTACCGGACAGCTCTGGAATTATTCAACAAAATAGTAATGCACACATTTCAGTTATCGCAATGATGCAAGTGTAATTAATACACGGTTCCCCCAATCCCCCACAAAATTTGGTGAACATAAAACAATCCATTCTGATGACCGATTCCCAAATATAGTCAATAACTGAAGTTTATAATAAATCCCATACAATGACAAAATATTCCACAAAAAAATTAATTCCCATCTCCAAGTTCCGATACAATAACAATAGAAATATTGGTTTTCAGTTCACGAAATCCTTGAATTTTATTCGTTCTTTGTTCATTCTCAAAACACTTATATTTGTACAGCAGTGAATGTAGTTTTTATTTTCTTCCAATTTCATGTATGAAAAGATTAAAATATTTTAAATCAATTTCTATTAAACATGACAGCGAAAGTTTTAGCGAAGAGATATATTTTGTTGGCTAGTATTTTTCGTTTTTTATTTTTTATATTTCGTAGAATATAAAAAGCGGTGTTAACTAAATACGAAACGAACGTAACTAAAAAAAAATATTTCAAATAAATCGAAAGAAAAAGAATAAATTATTAAGAAATGTTTCCTGAGAAATGTCTAAACGTAACAAAATGATTGTGGATGTTGTTTTTCATTTGTCACCAGATAACTTCAAATCTTTTTTTTTCATAAATTTGTATGAGAGCGCGCCAAGTCTTGAATATTACCAGTAAGACATTTCATAGAAGACTATTCTTTTTAAAAGAAATAGAAAAATGGCTCCTCTTCCGTAGTTTATGTAACGCCTAATCCGTCACATATACAACAAATGCAATGTTTCCATAGACGGATCATATTCCAAAAAAGTTATTCATTCATAATAAATGAACAATTTTTTTATAATATTCTTTTTGTAGAGAAATTTGAAATAGTTTTTCTTCGGTGATTTTTGTTTTTTGTTATCGAATTTTTGTTTTATTTCCGTTTTAAACTTAAATAAAAGTGTTGCTTTTTATTACTCTTGGATGTTTTTTAAAAACAATAAAGATGATGGAGCTGTGTTTGTTGTTGTGGTACAGATGTTATTATTTTTGTTTGTTTAATAATTTTAAGATTTAAAGTCTTCTTAGGACACAAATACACTTTTTAGAAAGCGAAGAGGAGCAAGAAGGCCATCATAAGACAGAAAAGACCCATAGCTTCAGAAAGGGCAAAACCCAAGATAGCGTAGGAGAACAATTGCTGTTTCAAAGATGGGTTTCTGGCATAACCAATAATGAGGGAACCGAATACTGTTCCGATACCGGCACCTGTTGTATTGGAAGAAATGAAGTTGCAGAGAAACGAAACAAAAATAAAAATCATTAGTAATTTTAAATTAAATTGAGGCAGCAAAGAAGACATCGGTTCCGCTTTATGAGAAATAAAACACATTTTTTTCTTGGCGATGATAAAGTCAGTCACAGATTAGTCTGAATTGAGTTCTATTCCAGGGAATAGCGAGCACATTGCACTAAAATTGCTGGTCACAAAAGATTTCAATGTATTTTTATATTTTAACAAAAATACAGAATTTCTTGTCCTTTTGCCTCTTGATCACACAAGTTTCCTGCTAGAAAATATTTGAAGTCCAAACACCATACAACTTGGCGTTTTTTGTGAACTTTTGACCACATCTCAGACCTTCCCGGGGCATTTGTTTTTAAGAGTAATACAATACTCGTGTGTAAGCCCCAGATGCTAGATTGCAACTGACTAGTCTCAGCCATATGGAAATGTGGAATAAAATTTCGCAAAGCGCTTATGTTCCCTTTGCTGCCTTAGATAGATAATAAATTGTAATCGAGAGTTGTTTCTTCTTCCAATACTAACCGGAACCAGCTACACCGACTGTTGCAGCACCAGCACCAATGAATTTGGCAGCTGAATCGATGTCACGTGTGACAGGGGAGGTCTGGAATGACCTGATTTGTGGCAGTAAAGCAACTGGGGTTGTGTTCTGAGAGGCCAAGGTTTGGCTTTGGCTAATGACTGCGCTGCTCAATGGTCGCAAGTATTGCTTGGAGCCGCTGAGGAGCTGAAAAAAAGAATAAATAAAATTATAAATGAATGCTATTTATTAGCTAAATAATAGTATATTTCTAAACATAAGCTATATGAACGATTATTGAAGAATTCAGCAATACGAAAATCGCTTTATACAATTTCATCCCTTAGGTTTCCACGGTAGGTGTAGTTGTATTTTGGGTATTTGTTTCTTTTTATCGAATATTACAAAAGTTATGCAATAATGCACAAAGTGGGAGTGTAAAACTAGAATTTTTTTGTACGGCAAACATTTTGCCCGATAAATAAATATCAGAGAAGTGTAAACCATTGGTCAATTATGTCAGAAGGCAGTATATTATTTTTTCACACACACTTTAACTCTCAACTTGGCAGTAAGAAAATTTAAATGTATACCCGTATTATTTCCTTAGGTATACTCCATCCAAACTATTGCTAGAATATGTGAACAACGTATTTCTTTAAGCACTGTCTCCTTTAGTTTTTATAATTCACAATTAATTTATATTTTTTTAAAGTAAACTTCCACTGATAACACTTTCTAGCCTTACAGGTTTTCTAGGTTATGTTGTTCATTGGGAGAACACGAGCATTAAGGCAAGAAAACCCTTTGCTCACAGAAATAAATTAATAAATGGAATTGTTTACTTTTTTTCTTAAAATGAAATCTCGGTAATCCAAAATTGTTCTTTTAGTTGCAAAATAATTCTCGTTCTTTCCCAGCTCTTTTATTTGACAAGCATGGAAATCAGCTGATTGCTGTAGTCAGAAGAACAGAGTCAATCACTACTAATCGCACGCCGCATCGTGACGTAAAGGTAAACAGAAAGCAACGTAACCTTTCTCAATCCATGTTAAAATATATTTATTATAAATAAGTTTTAAATAATGTACATATTTCAAGCTCTTAAAATTATTATTTCAGCTTTGATTAATTTGATTATCTTCCAAGGCCTATGAATTCGTATCTTGTTAAAAATTCTAAAAAATTCAACAGTGCGAGATAAAAGGCAATTATTCAACCTTACATGCCATTCTGATAAAACAAAAAGCCAAAAGGTGGTGCATACATGTGCCAAAAAAAAGTTATGCAATTAAATTTGGCAGTAAAAGCCGGGAAATTACAGAGTAATTGAGTGAAAATATATTCGAAGGTCCGCTGCTGGTCGATCCATTTTGTTTACATTCTCCCTTAGCAGTAGTGTAGTAAATTAAATGTTATAAATTGATAAATATGTAAATGGAGAAAATATTCTTTTTCCATTTCAAACAACCCTTTTTTAAACTTATGTAATAATAGGCCGCCCATAAAGCTTCCAAACTTACATAATTGCAAGCCTAGAATTATCCCTAGCATTGTATTTCTACTCCCTGCTGAATATAAAGATTATAAAACATTAACAAGAAAACATGTTTCAACGACGTCACGCGGATATTATTTAATAATAAATACAACACCGACAATGTCATAACATTGTTCGCCGGTGCCACATCCCTAAATTAGGAAGAAAAACACTAACCCGGCAACCACTTAACAAGAGGTGTAAACAAAAAGTATTAATGTAACTACTTCTAAACAATTTGCTTCATTATTAACTATCTATTTGCACTACATTTTACTTCTACAAAAAAAGATTTAACAAACTCCCAACAACTTTGAGGCACCTAACCTCAAATTTCCTTATGTAACGTTTTTTTCTACTTTGACAAATACACCTTAAAATTGAGAGCGGCCAATGGAATTCCACCACGAAGAGCCAATGGAATTCAGAGAGTGTGAGAGAATAAACTAGGTGAAATGCCAAGAAATTGAAGAGAGAATTGTGGGAAAATGAAGAACTACCATTGACAGACGAAAGAGGCGCGCTGCTTCTGCGGTGTATAGAAAAAAATCGATTCCATATCAACTTATGTAATGCTAATGGATTTGCAAAAATCTCTACTTAAATATTTTTTTCAATTTTAATACTTACAGCGGTCCTGGCAACGGGGGCAATACGGGAGACTGTTGATACGAACATTTTGATTTGTTTTTTTTTGTTTTAAGATGCTGAAGATCAACAAGAAATTGAAGCTAGCGCACGTAAGCTCTGCAAGAAAAATACATAAAATTATCAATTAGAATATTAAACTATATATCGTTAATGAAAAAACCAAAAAACCGCTTAGAAAAATTCGAAGATATTTTCTTCAAGTTGGGAAGTAACACATTTTTTGCAAATATTCTCAAAGTTTCTCTCGGGTTACGTAACCTCAAGACAAAATCCGAATGTTAACTACAATGTTGTTAGAAAAGTAAAACTTTTTTGCCAAAACTCAAGAAATATTTAATATTATTTATATAAAGCACCACTTTTAATTGATCAGTACGGTTTTATTTTTTTGTTCACTTAATAAAATTGGAAAAGTTTGCTAACATTTTTTAACCCAATCGGTGAAGAGCTGCTGAAAGCCGCTGTACTTGATTCCAACTGACAAGCACTATCGTGTGCAAGAAGTTGTTCGGCAAATTTCATTGGAAGTGTATGTGTTTCGTTATCCACCACGCAAAATGGCTGTCTTCGTAACAAATTCACCACTCACGTAACTTCTCTCCAGCACACTCCTCACACCGAGTTGAAAAAATCGGCGAACTTTTCCCATCTTTTTTCTTTATGATTTCTTTTTTACTTAATTGCACTTTTTCTTTTTATTTATTTTACAAATATTGTTTTATTCTCTTATTAATGCTTTTACATTTGTAAGAGAATGAAAACAAATCGTAAATCTTTTATAAAAATTTCTCAGCACCGATTGATTATTCAATAGCAATGTGGTCTTCAGTCAAGAAAAAATCTCTCCAACTTTTCTTTGCTACTTTTGCGGCTTCTAGTTTTTTGCGTGTACTCACTTCGAACGAACCCTGACAACAGTGGCAAACTGAAATGAGAAGAATTACTAACACCAGCAAAGTCAATGACTGTATTGGAATTTGTCAGGCCGTGGTGTATTGGAATAATGACAAGAACTGTCAAAATCAGCAACCGGGTGACTCAAAGTTCTGTGCATTTAACAAACTCTGCGTTTTGTATTGTTTTTTTCTGGGATTACATTTTATTAAAATATGAATGTTCTATATTTAGCTATTCATTTCTATATTATCGTATAAACAACGTTGTATTTTCGCTAAATCCTCTATTAAAATACGAATTCCTTTTAATGCCCGATCTGGCAACATCAGCTGTACATTGATAATTTCCAGTTTGGCTAGAACTATTCCAGTATGTGGTATGTTCAGTGGTCATTGTGTTGATGAAGGGTTGTATTAAAGAATTTTTGGTCAATAAACCTTTTTGATTTGTCGTCCAATAATTATATTCGATTAAGATTTTTTAATAGCCTAAGAAATTGCATATTTCATCAATCAAAGTTCAAAAACAAAATAAAAAATAATATGTAAATGTTTCAGTAGGAACATGCTTGTGCAATTTATAATTTGCGATACTTTTATCAACCTATCAACAACAGTTTGATTAACAGTCAATGTGAACCTCTTATTTAACTAAAAAATAAGTATTTTGATAATTATCTGTTTGTTTTCAAAATAGGCAACCAAATTTGTAATTACCAAAAATAAATTTTTCATATTTGTTCAAACAGTACAGGTGCTTTACTTAGTAAGGCTAAAATTTACAAGCACCGCCTTAGTTAAAGGCTAATTTGTGTTGCCCGTGTAAATGCTGTAAAGATTCTGAGAGGCATTTTCAATGAATACTGACAAGCACAATTTATTGCATGTTAAACGCCCTACCGACAGTAAATCCAAAGACATAGAAGTATAAAGATGGGACAAGACAGAGTCAAAATATTGTCACCAGGTGTAAATACCTCTGTTGTTACGATATCATAACAACATAATCACCAATGTTAAGTTGTTTTAACAGCAAATGCAATATTCAAACGTCAGTAAAATGCAATTTTTAGTTCAAATTTTTGGTTTACAGAAAATTTTATTCTTAAAATTGCTCTGTAAATATAATTTTTATGCTAATATGTCACTGTTGTGAGCAGCGCCTCTATATATTTTTCACATTAACTATTTTTCCATTATGCCTTTTGTCCAGTCTACCATTTCAGGTCTTTGGTAAATCTTTGGATTTCATGTTCCCAATATTTACAAATTTGAGTAATTTTTCATTCAACAATTTCGATTCCAGTTCATTGTCCTATATTCTTCTACCATGTATGTAACCAAGCCTTGTGTAAATGCATCTTCGCCTAAAGAAAAAATTGCTCTGTTCCAGAACCCACAAGATTCTAGTTGTGTTCCAGAACCTGCAAATTAGTACTAATTAGCACTAATTCTGCTACAACGCGTTCCCGTACTCCAAAAACTAGCAAAACTTGCAGCTCTCTCGAGAAAAAAAATGGCGCTGAGTGGTGCACATTTCTGCTTGTTTTAGCTACATGAATTTGGCCGAGCAGAAATGTGCATATTGTAAATTTGACATTTAATTGGCAGGGCTAACAAGGTTGAAAAATGAATTGATACATTTCAATAAAGAAAATGATCAACTTGAAAACTAAAGGAAAAACTAATATTTGTCGTGCAAAAAACAAAAAGAGAAAATATGGAGCAACTGATGTATTCACTTTTGGATGATTCCAGCAGTGAAGAGGACTGGCTGAATGAGGAATAAGATTATTAATTATTATTATAAATTATTGATTTTAACTTATCGTCTTCAATACTCATTTTTTAAATGTTGGCGCTCTTTTCAGTAAGGTTTCACCAGTCCGATTTAGGCTGTTTACTTTTGGAATTTTGAATTTTGACATTTTATCGCATTTCTGCTAATTTTCCGTTCCCTTATTTTTTTGAGCAAACCTAAATGAGAATGACATTTCGAACTGTTCTCTCTTCTGCTAGTTTTACTACTAAAAAAGTACTGGAACACAACTAATAATTAATAATCTGATTCCTCATTCAGCCAGTCCTCTTCACTGCTGGAATCATCAAGTGAATACATCAGTTGCTCCATATTTTCTCTTTTTGTTTTTTTGCACGACAAATATTAGTTTTTCTTTTAGTTTTTAAGTTGATCATTTTATTTATTGAAATGTATCAATACATTTTTCAACCTTGTTAGCCCTGCCAATTAAATGTCAAATTTACAATATGCACATTTCTGCTCGGCCAAATTCATGTAGCTAAAACAAGCAGAAATGTGCACCACTCAGCGCCATTTTTTTCTCGAGAGAGCTGCAAGTTTTGCTAGTTTTTGGAGTACGGGAACGCGTTGTAGCAGAATTAGTGCTAATTAGTACTAATTTGCAGGTTCTGGAACACAACTATTATTATAAATTATTAATTTTAACTTATCGTCTTCAATACTCATTTTTTAAATGTTGGCGCTCTTTTCAGTAAGGTTTCACCAGTCCGATTTAGGCTGTTTACTTTTGGAATTTTGAATTTGACATTTTATCGCATTTCTGCTAATTTTCCGTTCCCTTATTTTTTGAGCAAACCTAAATGAGAATGACATTTCGAACTGTTCTCTCTTCTGCTAGTTTTACTACTAAAAAAGTACTGGAACACAACTTCTACTATTTTTGCATTTTTTCGATATCATAAAGGGAAAATCGCTTATCGTAGTAAAAACTTTTACATTTTAGCAGTTCGATAACAGACCAAATGTTTGCTAAGTTCCAGAACTGCAAGAATGTGAATATAACTACTATAACCAATATTTCCCTTATGATTCATTGAATTTCTGGAACAGAGCATTTAAATCGACGCCAAAATTACGTATTTATGTATGCATGTGTTTTTTTACGTGTTGTCAATGGGATGGACAAATGAAATAAAATTTGAATTGAGGAACGCTTAAGAACCAAATTATATAAACTGAGTTAGCCTTAATAACTGACGTACGGCTTCGACGTTTTTCATCACAAGTTTTCAATACATGTACCGAATACATGTATATATGGTACCGTCGAGCGTACAGAATTTCAAAATCTAACAATTTCCACATTATCAAAATTGACAACACGATACATCTGGTTGTACAACTTGGAGATGTTGTGAACTATTGTACGAAGTTGTGTCTAGGTTGTACAAAAAATCAAAATTATTTGATTTTTGGCATGTTGTACAAACCGATTATAACATATGTGGGCATGTTGCATACTATTTTATTTTGTGTTTATTTTCATCTAAACAACACCAAATCCGGCCAAATGTGTGATTTTAATGAATATTACAAAGTAGTATTGCAAAAATAAATAATAAATAAAAGCTTTTGAGTCAATTATAGAACACGAAATTATTTGTGTTGTCATCTGAACTCATGGTAGTTCTACAATGTCTGTACTCAAACAAACTGTTCGAAAAATAAATTTTTACAAAAATGTCGTATCAGTTCAGACGTGACTCAAACCTTCGTAATACCGAATATCTGGAGGTACAGTTATATGCGGTCAATACCAAAACTTGGACGTATATGGACAGTTCTCCGCATGGATGTTTCCTACATACAAAGAACACAAACTGCCAATTTAGACAATTCGGGTTTTGACTAAAACACCCAACCAATCTCCCAATACAGTTATTTGGAGGCTATTCCAAAACGTATACCTATATGGCCCAATACCAAAAATTCAATGGATCTAAAATACATTTGACTAAAACTTTGTCCATCTACTTCATTCTGTTCAGAACCTAGAGTGATTTCCATAGATGGACAGACGAACGAACATTGTTAAATCGACATAGATTTTTTGCTGATCAAGGATTGTATACTTTGTGGGTTCTAAAATGCATATTTCGAAAAGTTTCAACGTACGGTGGAGGTTATAACAATCATATGTGAGAGCAAATGATCCATGAGTACTAGCTTCTGAGGCTGATATGTTGATTTTACGTATAGTCATCTAGTTTTGACACAATATTCGTGTTCATTCTTCCGATTCTAGAGCAATGTCAATGTGAGCATTGCAAATAAACTAAGAAGAAGATTATCGATTAAGAAACTCTCGTAAAACCAGGGCAAGGTAAATATTTTGTAACAATGTCAATGAATTACATTTCATGGTTGTCATGAATGTAAAGTCTTTACCAATATAGGTATAGTAACAGTTTAATTATTCAATAATATAATTCTGTTCTAGCCCAAAAAACGAATGCGTTGCCATGCCACTTAAGCGTATTACGTATTACATTTCGCTATTTAAAACTATGCAACAAAAAAATCAATTACATTCGGCTTTTGCAACCATTAATTTGTGTAACGCCTGACAGACATACGTCTAATCAAAAGTATTACTTCAAATATTCTCATGTTTGTACGCGAGCCAGCATCTTTTTTACAGGTGTACCACGCAACCTTACTTAACAATATTCAAAATAGGGGTAGATTACAAAAAGGTTTAAATATAATTTTTATATTAGTCATCTGATTGGGGATGAAAAAGGAAACGAAGGTAGTACAAGGAACTAACAGCAAATAGGTATTTTGGGGGTGTCATTTACCGCTTCGAATGGGATTTGCCACAAGTTCACCACAACAACAAAGTCTTGCTCTCTCGTTCTCTGGGTCTTCACATATACACGACGCTTGTAATCGTACAATTGTGGTGCCAGACTCAGTTGCCTTCGTCTTTTAGCAACGTACGAACATGTTCATGTTCTGCATTTTGGGCGAATATTAACTCATTTCTAACGCCCTCATTTGTGACAAATAATAGTAAAAATGTGGTAAATGCTGTTAACAACGAAAAGTTAATTATATTTAAGACTTTTAGAAACAAGTTACGTGTTAAATTGAACAAGTTTGCCAGAAGTATAGAAAGTTCGTTTTGTGTTTTGCTTGTATTTCGCTGCCCCCAAATTATAAAATTGCATAACAACGTCAGTGTGTGTATGTTTGGCTACAACGTCGCAGTATTAGTGAGAACGGCCGAGTGTTAAATTGTCGTGTTGTGAGAGACAAGCCGACGAAACAAGAACAAGAAGTGCGAAGTGGAAGAGAAGAGAATTGTATATGCTTTTGTGTGCTTATTTGTATATTTCATTATTACAAAAAGAAAGAAACGATAAATTCACCACTTTGGAATTACTACTACGGTTGTCATACAACGCCGCCGCCGCGCCGTCATAATCGTCATCATCAAAGCAAAGTCAGAGTCACTTCTACCAGTCTGTCTATCAACCAACATAGCAACTGTCATTTCTATACTTTTCGGTGCGAGAAATGCTAAAATTTCTTTTGGGGAAAATGTAAATTGATATTAACAATAACAACAACTGAAATCCGTCCAATGTTTTGAAGTATGAACCATTATCGTCGTCATCAGCAGCATCAACGTCAACAACATCGAAACTTTTTACAATAACAACAACCGCAAGTGTGTGAGTGTGTGTGTCTGTGCCAAGTGTTTGTTTTTAATCATAAATTGTCTGGAATAGACAAGAGCCGATAGAGAGACAAACAGACAGTCAGTCAGACAGACGAACAATTTGTTTTGAACTATACCTACATAAAAAGGAACAAACAAAACAAACACAAAAAAGTCAAACTAAGTCAAACAAACCTCAAATGTATTTTTGAGCATCCATCATCATTATCAGCAGCAGTCCAGTGTCGTTGACGTCTCGCCGCCAACGTTCGTTGCAGTTGAAAGTCAAAACGTTTTACTATTTTTATGCAGAATTCAAATAATAATGCTGCTGAATTTAAAGTAATAAAAACTAAAACAGCAGCAGTAGTGACACAAGGTAATAAAATATATCATATTCTTTTTTTTTGTTATTTAATAGGCTTCTGTCTATACGAACGTATCTATTGTATTGTATGTATGTATAAACATACAATACTCGTATATATAGCTGTAGACAGTATTTATGTAGAATGTGGATATGTGCGACTCGCTGGCATGTAAATACACATAAATTATGTATGTGTACACACATAGAGATGGGAGCTTTTTAAAAATTCATATATGCACATATCTAAAGATTTGCAAATTCACGTGTTTGCCATGGCTTTAACATGCAATTGTTAGTATTTGTTTGTTTCATTGCTTTTTTTACCATTTGCAGACAAAATGTTGAACGAGATTTTCAAATGAAAAAACAAAAAACGATCTGGTGTAGGGTTGACTTCAGTATTACCTCTGTCAGTCGCCGCTGTACTTTCCTAGACATGTCATTGTAACGCAGGATTATTGTGTCGTACATATTTCGTAACATTTTTACGCACTATTTGGGAAGAGTTTGATATTCCGCCACCATTTGCCACTACACAAAGACAATTTTAAATGTTTTTACTCCATTTACCTTTAGCGAAAAAGAAAGATTTACATCTGATCAAAATTGAAGAGACGGGTTTACTTCAAGATCAGGGTTCTACCTAAGCAATATACAAATTAAGTTGTCATTTAAAAGCTTATTGCATACTTAGAAAAATATTATTATTTTTTTTACACATACAGTTTGGCAGAAAAATAGACAAAGGTATTGGTTACATAAGGTTTCTACTCTAATATACAGGGTTAGCTAAAAAAAAAAAACTGCAACAAAGTCAAATGTCATAATTTTTACATTTTTTGAATTTTATTGAATGAAAGCAAAAATTTCGGAAATAGCATCAAATTTTACAATAAGTTTAGATTTGTTGGAATTGGTCACCTTTGACACGAATTATCTTATCTCTTATATCTTGTCACACGCTGCTCGAATGTTGCTCTGCGGTGTTTTGGCCCATTACCGGAGAAGCGCTTACTTGAGGTGATCGACGCTTTGGTATTTTTTAGTGCCAACCTTGCTTTCAAAAATACTCCAGTCACAATAGTCCAACGGATTAGCATCCGGAGATTTTGGTGGTCATTGTGCGCTAGAAATTAAGCGAGCAACCTGATTTTGTAACCATGGTGCTGAGTCCTGTTGGAATGTCTATAGTCTGCGGTCAAAATGTTTGCGTGCCCAAGGCTTTAATACACCCTCCAGAATATATTCGCGATAATAATCGGCATTTATTCTTATGCCACGGTCGATTAATACGAGCGGAGAGAGACCATCGGCTGTTATGGTGGACAACACTATCACTATGGCCGGTGCTTGAGTTCTGGTGTCCAACCGAAGGGCCGCTTTTTTCAGCTGACCTCTTTGGCAAGTAAACACGATAATTTTGTTTGTTTACAAACTGCTGGACAACGAATGTTTTCTCATCGGAGAAAACCAAGTTCGGCAGTTCACCACTTTCGGCTTAGCGAAGCAACTCTTTAGCTCTGAGTCTATTGGGTCTATTTTCTTTCTGTTGTGGTGTAAGTTCTTGAACTTTTTGGAATATAAATGGCTTTACCCCGAACTCATTTTTCAATATTGGAATGGAATATTGCGATATATTTAGCTCAAGAGCCATTTTTCGGCCACTGCGACGCGGGTTTCGACCAAGTCGCTTCTTTACTTTTCGAACCATTTCTGCTGAAGTTGCTGTTTTCTTGCGTCCACTTCTTTCACGTCGGGCTACCTTACCAGTATCACGGCAACGAACGATGGTACGAGACACAAAAGATTTATGCTAGGAACACAATTGGAGCGAACGACGAATTTCGCCCTACGCGGCGACAAAATGAGCCGCGAAAATTCGTCGTATGGAACACAATACCGACGAAATTATAAAACAGCTGATGAAGTTGTTTACTTTTTGCTCATTTGTTGACTACAATGAATTATACAAGAACACATAATTCTTTACGTTCTCTATTATAATTTCACTTATGTCCATCTTCTCTATTATAAATTCACTGATATCCATCTTCACTCAGGCGCAAGTACACAAATAAATAAACAAATTAATTATGTTTTTTTTATACGAGTAACAGATAGTAGAGTGACCATAACAAATTTTAAAGTAAAAAGTAACTTTATTTACTAAAACACATAAAATTCGTACAAGTATGGCCACCTTGTACTGTTTTGTTCGCCGGTCGCCGGCGTATGAAATAGAAATAAATCTAATTGAGTTCGCGGCGACCGACGAAATTTTCGCCGGTGCCGTGATTGTGTGCACTTCCATATACACATATGTGTTTTATTTTTGACGACGAACATACGCCGCGAAAAAATTCGTCGTTCGCCCCAATTGTGTTCCTAGCATTATTCACATTTAAATGCTGGAGTGCTCTAACGATAACCACTTGTGGTTTTCCAGGCAAGTATAAGGCAATCACACTATCCCGCTTAAATTGCATCACGAGTAACTTTTTATGTGGGAAATTCTCACCGAAATGCTTTTGTAGGCTTGTAAACAATATAATCAGCTGTCACTGGAATAATTTTAACAGCTGTCAGAGGAGTGGCTTAGAAATGACAGCAGTCTCAAGTTGGTTGCAGTTTTTCATCTAACCCTGTATATATAAATTTTTAACCCACCCTAATTGTGTCCATTCCTTACCGAAAAACTTTCCAAGATACCCAGTATGAACGCTATGGATCTGCGGTCTTTGAGGAAAGGGTTTGTCAATCTTGAGAGTCACTTCCTTAAACCAAAACAGGGATAGATGAAGACACTAATAAATCTAGAGCCCGACAAATAACAATGTTGAAGGATCCTTCTATTTGAAGAGAAACAAAGTGTGCATTAACACCAGTTTTATTAAATTTTCTCTTCACATGGATATCTTGCGAATTTCATAGTAATCCAATCTTATCTTCACATTGTTTCTTCGTGTAGTTAAGTACCGTCACCCCCATGCCCGAAAATATATTTTGTATATTTTATCCTATATATTCATATCCAAAACCTTTCCTGTGTTTTTCAATTATAATCCCCTCGTAACTCCCTTTCAATTACTTTCATAATTATGACTACCCATAGCTCATCAGAATTGTTTATTTAACACAGCATCGATTTAGCATATAAAATAAATTCACTAACAACTCATTCCAAATCCATTTGGAAGTTATAAAATGTTTTATTTTTAATTAAAAGAAGTTACTACATATAAATAGCTGTATGACCTCATATGTTCGTTGGTCTGGTCGAAATTAAGTTGTCTACAACCATATGCGGTAGATCTACTCATACCAGTCGATAATGTGACTTTCATTACCAGAGCTATTATGGGGTGAGTATGACAACGCTGTGGGTGTCCTTCCATTGAGTTAGTTGTCTCGGCGCTTTTCTGTTTGAATGATTTTTGGTATTGGGGTAAATGGTATAATTTCCACTCCTTATAAGCTATCATTTTACCACATGCAGTTTTCTTTTACGCAGTCACAATAAATTCCCAACCATTGGTACAGGATTAGTATCTAATCGATTTGAAGAAAGCGACTATAATTCAAAATGTCATCAAACTGCTAAATTATTGAATAGCAATTTCTTTTGTACTATTATGAGAGGGCTATTTGAATGCTTTGTTCTCAAAAGAATGTATTGTTATTAAATCCAATAATATCAAATACGACGTAATAATAAACCGCTGTGCGGAGATGCACGAAACACGTGTAACTACGCCGCTGTTTTTTCTTTCTATTTCAATTATGTTTGCATTTGACAGCTTTAATTATAAACGAACGCAAGCTATAATTATTACTACTTTCCGCCTTTGAGAAATAATATGAAATTATATGGGTTTTGGGACCCAATTTCACATTTATTTTCTCTCTATTATTATTATTGTCTTTAGATAATCCTACCTTTTGAAAGGCAAAGGGATGAATGCCTGTACATATATTGTATAACAATATTTCGAAAACATCCCCCAACAAAACATCCATACCAATCGTCATTAAAAAAATGAGAACTCTTAAAAATTTTCATTTGAGACTTGGCATTTATCGACTAATTCCCAATATTTGAAATAGTGGATTTTCATTATCAATTTATGGGGCCAAATAATACATCAAGCGTCGTACTGGCCGCGACCTACTACTTTGAATCGAACTACTGGGTGATTCCCTTTGACATAGTTTCATTTTTTAAACTATGCGATGCAAAAACAATTGCAAGGGAAACCGAATCCATGTATTTCAGGATAAGAATCTTCGGCAATATTACTTACAAAAAATGGGAAATATTAGGGGTGTTTTAAAACCTTTTCTTCAAAACTAAGAAAAGACTCCATTGAGATGTGATCGTATGATATCAAAATATTTACTTTGGGTCTCAGAATACATCAAAACTATGGACAAGATTATTCGACGTAAATTTTTATTATAAGTAACTGAAGACAACAAATTTACATCACTACGGGGTGCGATGAAAAAACTGCAACCAAATTCAGACTGCTGTCATTTCTAAGCCACCCGTCCCACAGCTGTTAAAATTATTCCGGTGACAGCTCATTATATTGTTTACAAGCGTACAAAAGCAGTTTGTTGAGAATTTTCCAGAAAAAAAGTTATTCGTGATGGAATTCAAACGTGATAGTGTGATTTCTTTATATTTGGCTGGAAAACCACAAGTGGCTATCGTTAGAGCACTCCAGCAATTAAATCTTTTGTGTCTCGTACCAAATCAAGGAAGTGGTCGGAAGAAAACAGCAACATCAGCGACTTGATCGAAACCTGCGTCGCAGTGGCCGAAAAATAGTTCGTGAGCTGAACATATCGCAATATTCCATTCGGCAAGTATTGAAAAATGAACTCGGGGTAAAGCCTTTGAAATTCCAAAAAGTGCAAGAACTTTCACCGCAACCGAAATAAAATAGACTCAAAAGAGCTAAAGAGTTGCTTCGCTAAGCCGAAAGTGGTGAACTGCCGAATTTGGTTTTCTCCGATGAGAAAACATTCGTTGTTCGGCAGTTTGTAAACAAACAAAATGATCGTGTTTACTTGCCAAAGAGGTCAGCTGAAAATGTGCACCTTTGTTTGGCCACCAGAACTCAGGCGCAGGCCATGGTGATGGTGTGGGCGTGTGGTGTGGGAATTATCGCAAAATATTCTGGAGGGTGTATTATAGCCTTGGACACGCAAACATTTTGGCCGCAGACCTTGGACATTCCAACACGACTCAGAATCATCACACTCAGCACGCGCCACCCAAGAATGGTTACAAAATTAGATTCCTCGCTTGTTTTCCTGCGCACAATGCCCACCAAAATCTCCGGATACCAATCCGTTGGACTATTGTGTATGGAGTATATTGGAAAGCAAGATTGGCACTAAAAATACCAAAGTGTCGATCACCTCAAGCAAGCGCTTCGCCGGGAATGAGCCAAAATACCGCAGAGCAACATTCGGCCAGCGTGTGACGGTTTCGTTGGCCGTTTGAAGGACATAATTCGTGCCAAAGGTGACCAATTCGAATAAAAGTAAACTTATTTTAAAATTTGATGCTATTTCCGACATTTTTGCTTTCATTCAATAAAAATTAAAAATATATGTAAAACTTATCGTGTAAAACTTGCAGTTTTTTCATCTCACCCTGTAATTTACTACACTTTACTATTTTTTTTAATAAGACTTGGTTTTCATTAGAAACTAACAACAAAAGAATCTTCCAGAACTGGTAGTGTTTTAAATAGTTCTCATAACATTTGTCGCATTCTACCCATGCATGAACTCTATAGGAAAGAGCGACGCCTAAAACACATAGCAAATGGATATATGAGTCAACTTTCCGTCCGATTCGTTTGGTTGCACTCGATAGGGAAAACATCTTACAAGAGAAGCTCTGATAAAGTTCACTGAACAGCATCTCTACAGATCACAGGTGATTTAGGAGCACACCCCAATCTGCACTGGACACCCTAGTTAACTTAGACCCTTAAAGTGTATTTGTAGAGCAACAGGTAGCCAGGAGTGCCCTGAGATTCAGCCAAATTGAACAATGGCGCAGTCAATTCCTAGGAGGCTTAGGCATTTGGAGAACATAGGAGGCGCGGTCATAGCCAGTGACTATTATCACATAGGCTGGAATTCGAATAACTGAAAGTGGAACGAGTGCGGGGATTTTCTGCGAAATACAGAATATCGGAAACTCCTTCAAGGTTAACAATTACTACAGTGTACTCCAGACAAAGATCTTTGCTTTAAAAAAACCATAGATCTGCTGGTAAACAGAAACAGTAAACTTCCGAGTGATACATCTACATTACACTGGGAGATGTCAACCAAACTGGCTAAAAGGAAGGGGATGCAATCAGATCATGGTCACATCATTAAAATCAGTTCTTTAGGTATTTTCCCTCCATGAATTTTAAGTTTTATAAGGAATGTGGAGAGCACAGTCAGGTGATGCGTGGATTGTATGATATTGAGTGAGAAAAGTTCTCACGATTGATATCCGCAACTTGTGACTTGTGTGATATCCGCAACTTAGGACCAGTTGTGATGTACGTATGGGATATTTAGTCAATTATTGATTTCACATTAAAAAGATTAAAATTATTAAAGAATTAAAAATTATTGCCTGCATTTAGTTGTTGTGTAGAAGCGTTCACATGCTCCGTTGTTTATAGACTGATTAAGCCGGTTCTTCCTCAATGTCCAGGTTTAGGAATTCCGCTACCTTTATGGGTTGTAGCCAGAGATCCTCTGGGCGGAGTTGGGTAGGCTTGGCTAGACATTTAAACAGATGCAGCGTATTGTGCGGCCTTTATTGCAAGCTGGGCAGGCGTTCCGCATATCTTCGTCAATTCGTGCTCAGTAGCTTGGGCCACTGTTATGCCTTTTTGAGTAAAGATATCTGATACTACAATGACCAGTCAATATGCCAACCAAGATTCTCAGATTAGATCTACTAATTGATAGAAGTGAGCAGGGTTTTCTCGAGATTGTAATAGTAGCACGACTATTTATAAACATATAGATATACCTTTATTCGCCTTTTCCTGGACCAGTCCAGTTAATCCCTTCATAAATCCCCATGGTCAACTTTGGGCGTGGACTTGCTTTTTTCATTTTTTCTGGTTACACAAATCGTGCCGAAATACAAACAAACCCTAATTAGTTGCATTGTCCTTTCCCAACTAAATTGAAATGCACAAACTCTTAACAGCGTCGCTTAAAGGAATAATTCTTTACACCGTTTACACGTTACTGCTCAATAACCCCATGTACATTTACAATTCTCACCTTGTCGGGCCGGCCGGCACGTTACTGCTTTTTGTGTTGAAATAAATGTTGAACTAATCAAAAAATATCTTGTGTGGCATTTCTTAATGAATACAGTAAAAAACACAACGACCGAACGGCCCGGATTGGAGATTCAGAGTAGGTACTTTCTCAAATTATCCATGGATTGAGTAAATATTTTATTGGCGTTCCCATGTCCGTCTTATCTCCTAACTAGAGTAAACACACAGCTAGCCAGCCAGACAATAAACACATGCCCTTCCCACACACATGTATTTGTAGGTATAAACAATAATGACTTAGAGAATCAGATTACCGTACATTCCTTTTGTCGTATCTCGTATTTTTGAAGCCGGCAACAAACACTAAATAAAAACCCACCAACCAACATTTGTATTTGTTTTTCAGTCTGTTTTTCCTTCTTTTTATTTGGGTATATTTATGCACCACTCTCTTATTCTGATATTCTATGTTTAATTAACTAGACAAACAAAATATACAATTTATCATTTCAGATTGATGGATGAATGAGGCGCCCTTTCGCCGTTTTGTTCTATTCCATACCGCACACCGAACCACACCAAATGTAAACAATTGAAAATCATCATCAAACGACCTCAAGATTGTAATCATATAGGAAAAAAATATATTCCCACCGTTGAAAAATAACAAATTTATTATAAACAAATTTTTGGAAAATAATTTACAATAAGTGTGTGAACGAGCGAGTGAATAAGTTTGTTTGTTGGCAAAACTGCAACGTGGAATTGTCTGCCACAGAACACGACACAGCATAGCACAACGAAGCCAAAAGCAAAGAGACCGGCAACTTAGATAAAAAATATTGCTCTCCTCTCATTTTTGCGTATGTTGTGCCGAATGAGTTAGTGGGGGACAGACAAATCATAACACAAAACAGACAACAACAATTATGATGGATAGATAGTAGTCGTCCACCGTGGTGTTGTCTTTTAATTGTTGTTCAAATCTAAACAATTCATTCTCTCAAATACAAAAGAAGAAGAAGAGACAGAGCCGCAGACACCAACAAACAATAACAATAGAATACAATTAACCGACTGCACTTTTCAAACCCACCATACCAGCACCACCTCAGTCAGTCAGAGCCGCCTCAGGTGTAAACGTCAAGAGAAGAATACCTATGCTGCTTGCAGCAATTGTGCGTGTGTGTTTTATGTTCTCAGACAACAAGAAGAACAAACAAAAAAAGTTTGGTGATGAGCGTGAGCACTTTGTAATTTTTTGAAAGGAACCAAAACACAACACGACGACAACAGCTCTTACGCAAAGGTATATCACAACAACACCTCAGTAGCTGGCCGAGTGTCGGCGGCAACGGTTGTTTGTAGTAAAAGAAGAGGAGAAAAATAAAAACAAGAATTAACTCGTCGTAGTGCTACGATTATTAACAATATAGCGAGCCGGAGCAATTTGTTCTCTGAGCTCTGTCAAATGTTGTGAGAGAGTGAGAGAACTAAAGAAAAGAGACAGATATAGGTGAATTGATTGAACGAAGACAAACCATCAATAAAACAGATACATACGACACATTCTCACAAGGCAGGCACACAGTCTAATTCACCACGGCCTGTCGGCACATATTGTATTGACAAGAACGAGAAAGTTATACAGAGCCGCCGGAGCAGTGGCAGCAGACCCCCAAAGAAAGACAAACTCAGTTGTGTTGGAGAAGAACGAACGAGCGGAACGACTCGTGTCTGTACGCATTAGGTTTGTTTTTGTGGTGGAAGAGCAAATAACGCAGAATTGTTGGCGATTCCGCAGTCTGCCTTAGAAGGGACATGGCCGTCTTTTTGCTCAATATCTGTAAATTTAATGGCTGCGGAATCACATTTCCAAGTTTAGGAGATTTAATACAACACATCGAGGACACACATATTGGTAAGTGTTTAAACAAAACGAAAAAAAGAAAGAACCTAAAAAACAATAAAACGCAAGAAAATGCAATAAATTAAATGAAAAAACAACAAACAATAACTGAATTGAATATCCAAATGTGAATTTGTGGATATATTGTGACTAGAAAATCAAAGTTTTTCCATTTTCGTGTATACATAAAAAATGGTGGCTATAGTTTTTCCTTGCAAAGCCAGCCCATAGTTGGCTGCAGCTTTGTAGACTCGAGTCGGTCTTTAATGCAAACAACTAAGAAAAAAGAATGAATCTTGAAATTATGGACATTCGTCATCGCAACATGAACAAAATTAATCCAAAAAGACCAAGTGTTTCGAAAAAGTTTGTTTAAACAAATTGTTGGTGTATTGTGTAGTTTTGTAGTGTTTTTCCCCAAAAATTCTTTTCCGAATAATAATCATTATAAAACAAGATGATGAGAAATAAAAACGAAACGAAGAAAAAAGGCATCTATGAAACCCGTACAATGTCCAACGTAAGCTTTTTCAGTTGTATATACCACAGAAAATTTTTCAGTAATGCAGAGCGAATGTGTGTGCGTGTGTTTGTGTGTGCAAGCTAGCTAGCAAGCGAACGAACGAGAGCCCAAACAAACGAACGAACAAGCGAGAAATGTGTATAATATGATTTGGAGTGGGGAATTTACATGGACTCCTCTCGTAAATGTGAAGACTTCAATTGAATTTCGTCCATCTATCCATGCCGTCCGTCTATCCATCCATCTATCCATACATACCATGCAGGGGTGGCAGTTTATAATGCGTTATGTTATATGTTTACTTTTCTATGATCTATGGCTTCTGAACTAAAAAGAAGTATACGGTGTTTTTTATACCCCACATTTTTTTAGTTTGTTCTTTCCTTACAAAAATCGTTGTCGTCGGTGTTCACCCTTAACGTCGTCGCCGCCGTCGTCGTCCTCGTCATTGTTGTTGTCGGTTGCTGTCGTCGTCGCTTGTCCATTCCTTTAATTTATTTTTGTCCCCTTGTTCCTTATGGGGTTTGAATGGCATACGACGTACGTCGTACATACATCCATGCCCAGTATAATACATACATCCAGAGTTGTGTGTTTTGTACTAGTAACATACGTACGTAAGTCATCCAGCCAGCCAGGCAGACAGTGAGCGAGCAAGCGTCAGCTGTGTTTGGAAAAATCGATATGCCGTGACGATTAGTGTGTTTATTATATATGCATATTATGCCATCTCGCTCCCTCTTATCCAAAATGAATGGCCGTTCGTCAAAGATATTTATGTGTTAATGCATTCTCTTCTGTGTTTTGTGTGCCTTTTTCATTCATTAAAAACTCTCGGTTGTATTTTCAGAGAGACAGAGAGTTTGTGTGTCGAAGAAATGAGCGTATAAATTACAACGGTGTCCTTACGGGAAATTGTTTTCTTAATGCAAAGAAAAAATAAAAATTTAATATATTATCTTAGATTACGTTATAATTTAATAACATAATCAATTTTAATTTGTTATTTAACATTTCCTTTTCCCATTGCTATCGCTTAATTCACCACACTGGCAGCATTTCCCCTGTTTTGTCAAATGTTCTGCTCTCTCGTGAATGCTCAGTGAGTGCATTGCCTTTCTCTTTTCAAATTTGTTTGTTTGACAGAATTCCACCTCACCACTACTACACTCTGAAATGATGAGAGTTAGCCGCCGATATAAACAAAATTTTTTATGCCGGTGTTTTTTTTTTCGCTTCCAACACGTATCTATACGTATAAATTTAATGAGGGTATTCGAATCTTGAGACTAGAAATAAAAAATAAGTGTGAATTGATGAATGGCTGTGAAAGAAGGTAGCGCTTATTTTTCTTGTTCTTGTTCCATCCATCAATTTTCAATTGAACTTAAATCGTGCTGTGTTGTGTGTATTGCGGCTGCATCTCTTCTCTCGGTGTATGGTTAAAAATTATTGTGGATAGACAGCTATAAATTTTATTGTGCGCTGGCTGATACGGTGTGTGTCGTGTTTTTTTTTTTTATTATCCCCCTCCAGCAGCAATGTGTAACAACATCGTCATCAATAAATGTGTCTGTCTGTTCCTAGTCTGGAAAAATTTTCATGGCAATTAAAACTCGACGAATCCATTAAAACATCCCACAAAATTATAATGCAATGCATAACCTACATTTTTTAAACAAGTCAGCACAACTGAGAGGGCTGGGGGAGAAAAGTCTACAATTAAAAAGTTTGTTGACCTGGTCTGATTTTCATTGAAATATCGAACTTGTCTGTGTTGTAGCCCCTTCTTCATTTCGGGGGTAGCTCGAAATATTTTCAAGTGGTGTTATTTTTTGTTGAATAAAATGCGTGTAAGGTGCATAAAAATGTGGAAATGTAAGTTCAAATGTATGTGTTTTTTAACTTAATATCAGTGTACTATACATTAAAGTAAAACAAAAAACTGCCGTTTTAAAGATATACCCTGTAAGGTATCTATCTCGTTTTCTAGCCTATCCAGTATCATAATGGAATAATTGAGTCGGCTAAAATCAGTACCATTATTCATGGGAACACATTCGTGAATCAATAGCAAAAATGACCTGCAATATGCAAATTTTTTTTCAACATTTTTTGGTCCATTCAGAATCATAATGGAGTGAATAAACGAGTCAGCTAGACATAAAATCGGTAGCATTGTCTGTCCCCCATGCATAGATCAAAAATGACTTGGGTTAAAAAAAAAAATTAATGCATTCATTTTTTCTATGTAGGAACAAATATCTAATATCTGGCTTCCAAACAAAATATTTTGGTCATGAGGAAGTTTTGAGGTTGAAGTTGTTGTAGCGATTATATCTCCCCCCAACAATTTCGTGATGATTATTTGGAGTAGTGTACATAGTTTTTGCATTGTTTGCACAATTTCATCGGGCAAATTGCCTCTAACTAACACTGAACATATTAATAGATTCATGTAATGGGAATAATAACGATTCGTACTGGAAATGTGAGTCGAAATGATCAAATTCAACAAAAACTCATAATTTATCGTAAAACATCAAAGATATTATTTTTACATACAGCGTGAAATAAAAAGACTGCAACAAAGTCAAACGCCATAATTTTTACATTTTTTTTTTAAATTTTATTGAATGAAAGCAAAAAATGTCGGAAATAGCATCAAATTTGAGAATAAGTTTAGATGTGTTTAGATTTGGCACGAATTATGGCCTTCAAACGGCCAATGAAACCGTCACACGCTGCCCCAATGTTGTGGTATTTTGGCCCATCCCTGGCGAAGCGCTTGCTTGAGTTATTTGACACTTCGGTATTTTTTAGTGCCAACCTTGCTTTCAAAATTACTCCAGACACAATAGTCCAACGGATTGGTATCCGGAAATTTTGGTGGCCATTGTGCGCTGGAAATGAAGCGAGGAACCTCATTTTGTAACCATGGTGCTGAGTCCTGAATGTCCAAGGTCTGCGGCCAAGATGTTTGCGTGTCCAAAGCTTTAATACACCCTCCAGAATATTTTCGCGATAATATTCGGCATTTATTCTGATGCCACGGTCGATTAATACGAGCGGAGAGCGACCATCGGCTGTTATGGCGGCCCACACCATCACCATGGCCGGCGCTTGAGTTCTGATGGCCAACCGAAGATGCACATTTTCAGCTGATCTCTTTGGCAAGTAAACACGATCATTTTGTTTGTTTACAAACTGCTGGACAACGAATGTTTTCTCATCGGAGAAAACGATTATGTCTGCAGGAATTTTTGGACAATTGAAAATGGCCTACGTAGGTCCACGTTTTGATATAACCCCCATATAACGGTACCTTCCGATTTTCGGTATTTTGATCATTTTACCGACATTATTCACCGGAATTGTTTCATATTTGGTATTTGATGTTCGTATTGGATGCTACAGCCTATTTCAGGAGATTGTCTGTACAGGTTCAGGTCTTCGTATAGCCTTCCTGATATCCTGATATTCGATATTTTGATGATTTTTGCAACATTATTCATCAAAATTATTTCATTTTTTTTCAAGTTTGGCATTTGAGTGTTTTAATAGCTTTTGACAAAAGTGGTCTATGTAGGTCCACGTCATCGTATAGACACTAATATAACGGCTATATTCGGTATTTTTAAGATTATTTTTTACGGATTTTATTTTTTTTGAAAATTGCCAAATTCGTTTCAAATGGTGCAGGGTATTCAAATTTTGGGCCGGTCGAATTTACAGCTTTTTTATTTGTTTATAAGTATGAATGAATATTTCTAAAATTGTATGAATATTCCCATGATTACGGCGGACACCTATACATTCAATCAAACCCCTCAAAACGTCTTTATATTTACATAACTTGGAAATTTGGTGCCAAGTCCTCTATTTGATTATAATATGTATTTCGATTATATATTATGGCTATGATGATGATGACGACTTTTGTAAAATACCTCAAATGTTTTTTGTGTGGATATTTTATTTGGTTCTGATATGATGACTGATGGCCAGAGTTTTATATTGCTTTTATTTTGCTTCAATATATTGTTTGCGATGAAACAAAATACATTTTTATTTGGTATATTGATTTTAATTTGCTTGAGTTGAATAATATTTTCACCAAATGTTTGTTTTAAACTTACTTCCGATATGTTAGCTTCTTCTTGAAGAACCTATTGGTTTTCTTTTCTTGGAATGCTTTGTTGTTGTGTTGTAAGTGCGCTCTGCTTTTATAAAATATATTATACAATGCAAGGATATTATTTTAATGGAAATCCTTTGGGAAAAATTAGAATTATGATGACCTGAACGACGACCACCTTGCTGTTCTGTACGTTGTTGTCATGATGATGATGATGTCAAAGCTTTGTATTTCCATTTTTTGTTTTCTTGTTGATTGGTTTCTTAGATGATAACAAGCAAGAGAGGGCCTAGATGATAAGGATTTTTTTTGGTAAATATTTTCAAAATTGCCTGAAAGGTGAAAAAAATT